CAGATACAGAGTCGCCACCTAAATATTTTGTTTTGGGAAATTCCGGACCACCATGTGAATTTGATCTTTTTCTGGTGGCCTGTTGGTCATCATCGCTGCCTTGGCTTTCCATCTAGTGATGATGGCCACGAAACTTTCATTGGGCTCTTGACGAGTGGCATCTAATTCCTGAGTAGTCACTTCAATCTGGGTGTTATAAGCATACTGGGTGATAAAGGCCTCAGCTAACTTTTCCCAACTTTGTTTTACCGAGTCCTCTAACTTGGCATACCAAATGGCAGCCACTCCTGACAAAGTTCGTCCGAATAAAGAGAGCTTTTGTGGGCGAGTGAAACCCATAGGCTTTAAGACATCAGAAAATAGGCGAATGTGCACCATTGGGTCGCCGAAGCCATCAAACCTATCAATATGTGGCATTTTGAACTGTTTTGGCAACTTTACAACTGTCTCAGTTTACCCATCGTCAATGTCCTAGATTAAATTGACTCATTGTGCCTTTTTGAAAAGTTTTTCCAACTTGGCCAGCTTCAATATAGTTGGGTCAGACTTAGGTGCTTCGGAGGGAAAGAGCACTCCCGTTGGTTGTTGAAGGGGAAGTGATCCTCCTGAAGTTTGTATAGGAACCCTCATATCTTCTAGTGAGTGAAGTTCGGGAAACTCGTCAGCTGGTAGAGGTGGAGGTGGAGGTGGAGGTGAAACTAGATGAGTCACCGGAGGTGGTTGAGTGGTGGACACCCCAAATAGGCATTGCAACTCAGTAAGAGTATTGCCTTGAGCGGCAAGAGTACTGCCTTGGGTAGCAACCGTAGTGGCAATGGTATCTATACTCCGTTGAAGGCCCAATAATATGTAGGTTATATTTTCTAGAATCTGAGCCATCACTAATTCTGGTGAGTTGAGTGGTGATGATCTAGCGGGTGAAGAAGGGGTAATCTGGACAGTTGATGAAGCTTTTGTTTTTCTTTGTGTAACCGATGGCAAAGAAACTAACACTGGTTAACCCTGAACCAAATCTGCACTTTTGCAAAGTCTACCAACGTGAGTCCACAGAACTTGGCAGATATCAGACCTTTCGGAAGCTATAGTGCTCAACTACCTTGCTGAAAAAAATGGGACTCCTAATCAAAATTTCATTAGCATCCCAACTCAACTGATTACTACTAACTCATGTAAAAAAATTGAACTCAACCCCACAAACTGAAATGACTGAACCACTCATCTAAATCTGAGAATCCCCATACATTGCACTTAACACATAGTAGGAAAGAGAACAAAAACCCCTATAGGGGCTAGGGTTACCCTGTCCTAGCTTTGAAATGATCTAGTGTTTCACTATTCAAGCAAGCGGCATCATACATCCTAGAAATGGGAGAGACTTGGTATCAGAGCTACCGAGTTTGAATAGTTGGGGCTCGCGAGAAGTGGTTGCTATACCACAATGGGTTCATTTCGCATGATTAGGAAATGTTTTGTTTTTGTGATTTTGTGATAGCATGCTTATGTGACTATGTGGGTATGGGATTAGACTTTTGGGATGTTGTTTGAGCCTACTAGATTCCTTGAATTCTTATTAGAAGGGTACTTGATCAATACTCATTCTACTAAGAATTCTTGGTTTCTCATGGGACGAATCTCATCACTAAAGGATAATTCGTATGTGCTTATGTGACTATGTGCTTATGTGGAGTGAATTGAATTGTTGTGTGATAGGATATGTGTAAACTGTTATAGTTTAACGTGTGAGGCAAGTTGCAAGAACAATTGGAATTATGTGTTAAATCATCTATCTTGTTCCTTAATTAGGATGTCGGGAAGAATTCAAACAAGAGGTGGTAGGGATGGAAGGCGAGGTCGACGTCGCCGGGGTATACATGAGGTGCCGGTTCATGAAATACCGGTGCAAGAGGAGGGTGTAGGCTAAGCTAACATGGCCGAACAAGCGGGGCAAGCAAAAGTGCCAGGGCAAGCCGGCCAAGCCGCAATGGGGGCTCTAGCCTGGGAGATGGCTGGGGCATTGAGGGAGTCCATGAACATACTTAGGGCGAAGACCCAAGCAAGGGAGAATGTTGCGGAGACTAGAGCTTGCTTCCTCATAAGGGAGTTTTTAAGGGCCAAGCCAAATGAACTCCATGGCGGCCCCGAGCCAAAGAAAGCGAATGAATGGCTTGAACAAACCGTGAATACCTTTGAGACGCTTCACATCAAGGACGTGAATTGAGGGTGACCCTACCCAGTTACTATCTCAAGGGTGATGCAAGCCAATGGTGGAAGTATGCAAAGGGCCGTATAGAACCAACATGGGAGGCGTTTGTGGTGGCCTTCCAAGACAAGTACCTACCTCCCACAGCTACGAAAAGATTGAAGCAGGAATTCAAGGACCTTAAGCAACTAAATATGTTCGTGGCCGAGTTCGAAGTAGCCTTCTCCAATTTATCCCTATTTGCACTGGAATTAGTAGCAACGGAGGAACGCCGTTGCATTGAGTTTGAGCAGAGGTTGAGGACGAAGATCCTATTCAAGATTGCTGGGAACATGATCCGGAATTATGATCGCCTTGTGGAGGCAGCCGCACATGTGGAAATTATTGTGGAGGCCGAGGAGGAGAGACTTCAGAATTCGACGTCTAGGGGCCAAGGATCGCTGCGAGACTATAGGCCTAATAAGAAGAGTAAGAGCACCTTTTCATCCCAATCCCAGCCCCAGCAAAAGTAACCTAGATCTACCTTTCCCTTGCCTAGTGCGGGCTCGGGAAGAGATGCGTCGAGTGGGTTTTCTTGCTTTAAATGTGGCCAACTGGGTTACAAAGCCTTTGCTTGTCCACAGAAGGGAGGAGGACAACAACTGTTGCCACCGCGACCACCACCTAACCGATCTCAGTGTCAGCCACAGAGTAGGAGGCAGGGGCCTACTTGTTGCCAGTGTGGTCAATTAGGGCATATGAAGAGAGCTTGCCTGCAGTTGGGAGGCGCATTTGCCGTATCAGGGTCGAGGCAAACTCAGAATCATCAGTAGACCCATTCAGTTTAGCCTTCGAGAGTCCATCAGGGAGCCACTTCGGCTCAGTCGGTACAGCAGGCCTACGCTTTGAGGGAGGAGCAGGGGGTTGATCAGAGGCCAGAGGGGCGTGTGTATGTAGTCACCGCTCTAGAGCAGTTGCCGAGATCCTCAATTGTGAGAGGTATTTTTATTGTGTGTAATTCTTTGGCCAGTGTGTTGAGAGATACAGATGTGTCTCATTCATTCATATCTGTTGCATTCCCATCTGCATTGGGGTTAGAGGTGGCACAGTTAGTGCTCCACTCAGAGTAGAGTCTCCAGTAGGGGGTACAGTTGATTTAGATCGAGAATGTCATGGTTGTGAAATAGAGGTTGCCGGGCGTAGACTCCCGTTTGCTTTTGTGTTGCTAGACATGCCAAGTTTTGATGTTATTCTAGGCATGGACTGGTTGTCGTCGTATCGGGTAGTGATTGATTGTTTCCGGCAGAGGGTCGCGGTGTGTACATCGAGTGGTGATTGTTTTTATTTTCTAGGGGACCGGGTTTATTGGGTCTTGTCGCCAGTATTTGATCCTCGTAGTAGGAATGAGCTTAGTGGTCTTCTTGCTACACTTCTGGATAGTGAGAGTGGCGAGACTCAAGTTGAGTTGCCAAGGGTAGTGTGCGAATACCCGGACGTGTTTCCTGAGGACCTTACAAGTTTGCCACCCCACCGAAAGATTGAGTTCACCATCGACTTAGTGCCTGGAACGACACCAATTTCTATGGCGCCGTATAGATTTGCACCCGCGAAGTTGCATGAGTTGAAGATCCAACTCGAAGAGCATTTAGACAAAGGCTTCATTCGCCCTAATACATCACCTTGGGGAGTGCCGGCTCTCTTTGCGAATAAGAAGAATGGGTCGTTGCGGTTGTGCACTGACTACCGCAAGTTGAACTAAGTTACCGTTAAGAACAAATACCCATTACCAGGAATAGATGACTTGTTCAATCAACTTAGAAGGTCTTGTTGCTTTTCGATGATAGACTTCAGGTCGGGGTACCATCAGTTGACTGTCCGGGAGGAGGACATCCAGAAAACGGCTTTTCGTATGCGTTATGGCCATTATGAGTTGCTTGTAATGCCATTTGTGTAATAACCTGACCCTCGTACGTGTTTCTGGTATACTTTCAGTCTCTTATTCTGTACATTTAAATGCTTACTGTGAAATTTCATGTGAAATTAAGTTGAAGTGAGTGGATCTTAGGATTAGAGACCTATATATGTTTAATAAGAGAAATATCTGTTACAATTATAATGTTTAGATCAGAAATTGGAAGCCTTAGAAGCTTAATAATCTAAAATTGATTTTATATTTGAGATCAGCATAATTTTTAGATCGTGATATGATTTTCTGTAAAGATTTGATTTGGAATGATTAAACTGATTGACTTTTGTCTTTATTCACTTTTATATAAACTTGGTCCCTTAAGCACTTGACTTAATAAGCTTGAACCCAAAAATACCTCCTGAGGGAGAGGGAGAGAGTAGAGAGGAAGAACAAAGGGGGAGAGAAGTCCTTCAAGGAGAAAGATTAGGGAATTAAGAGAGCTTGTAGAGATTTAAGTTCAAGGTATGTGTTATCTACTTTTATTAAGCCTCTCTTGATTAAAAGTGAGGAATTCTCTACAATATTGAAGCTAGGGTTTGTAATATAAGTCAAGCATGTATTAAGTGATTAGTTGGGATGATGCCTCTTGTGTTTGGTTGATTTGGAATTATATTGAACTATCTAGTGAGAATTTACATCTCATTTCTTCAATTGTCATGCTTGAGCTCAACTATGTGGATGAATGGCCATGTATGTATATATCTATGTGTGAGAAAAGTTGGAAATCTCATGGAATTAAGCTATGTTTATGAGTTTCAAGGAACTAAAGACTTAATTGAATTTGTGATCCATGTTTATGGAGTTGTTATGCTCTTATATTAAGTTATTCTTCCTATTTCTTCCCTTGTAATGTGTTGGTTTTGCTGAATTTTGGGTTGAATTCGGACTGCCCAAAACAAGGGCCCCGGCCGTACGTGCGGAGCACCACCGCACGTGTAGAGGTCATGGCCGCACGTGCGGAAAATGGGAAAAAAAAAATTGAAATTGCATTCTAAAATTTACCGCATGTGCGAGAGAGGATCACTGCACGTGCGGAGGGGACTGCCGCACGTGCGGCCCGTGCCGAAAAAGTTCGTCCACTCTGTTTTCCCTGTTTGACCCTCTGATATTATTAAAATAATTATTTGATGCTCTTAAGATGTTTGTAAATTCATTAGAAGCAAAACGAATCAGAAAATGATTTAAAAGGAAAAAGAACTAATTTGTGAATTATGTATGTGTGTAGGACACACCCCGGGAGGAACTATCGCTCCGCCACAGCACTGTGAGTAATAGTACTGTAGCAATACGCTTTACTTATCGCTAGCAATTATTATTAGCACTCTGTTAATCGCAAATTAACTATGTGTGGACGCGCCCTCGAGGGCTTATGCTTTTCCATAGTTCGGACTCAAATGTGTCACGGTTCTGAATCTAATCTCACAATGTGCGATGCGAGATTGATAAATCACCAAAGAGTCCAAATCCGGTAAATCATTTTGGAAAACAGATTTTTAAGAAAGAAGTGCCAAACATGGACTGCTTTTCCAGATACAGAGTCGCCACCTAAATATTTTGTTTTGGGAGAATTTAGGAAACCCTGACTCGTGCCTAAGGCCACGTGTCCGTCATCACCAAAGTTGCCTAGACTCGGGAACTTGGGTACGATTGGGGAAGGTCAGCTATGAGCACCCCCGCTCGCCCGATCCGAAGATCGGCCTATACTAAGCATGATATCGAGTTTTGAAAACA